TCTCTTGAATGTTCTCAACCTCTTCAGATAAAGGACCTTTAATACTCTGATTAAAACTACGGAAGCAGGGGCCTCCCTGGTGGCACAGAGGTTAGAGACACAGCACTATCAAGCTATCGCCAGCCACTGCAGCATGAGTTTGATTCCCCAGCCAGCCAGGGAGCTGACCCACATGGCCCAGCAGACCTCTCCTGTCTCTCCCACTGCTCCCCTCAGCAGTGTATCTCAGTAGATCTGCCTGTTCTGCTCCCCACTCTGTCTCTGGTGAATCCTCTCACCCCCTGCACCTCTGGCCTATACCCCAATTTAAAAAAACAAACTATGGAACCACCCTAGTTAAGTACTCCAAACAACATTTTTTATTAATGTCAAAGGACGGGGAAGAAGAGACCTTAGCTTCATACCCCTGCTCCATGATGGCTGATAGCAGTCAGGACTGGACTGTGCTAAGTGTCACCTCATTTAACTCCCTCAATACCACCATGATGTTGAAACCATGTTTTTTTTCCATTTTTACCAATGAAGAACAGAGGCACAAAGGGAAGACAGCCACAGAATCGCAATCCAAATACAAGTCTGACTCCACAGTCCTTGTCCTCAAATGATTCACTAAAGTTTTGATTCAGTATCCATTGTGTCAGAAATTCCTGGGCCTTCATGTTCAAGTGCAGATTCCCAACCCCACACCAAATCTAAGGAATCAGAATCTCTGGAGGCAGGACCCAGGAGTCCGTATTATTAATGAGAGCCCCAGTTGATTCTCAGGTGCCTAAGGCAGCCCCAATAGCAACTCTTCTCTAGACTGTCTTCCCCAAAAAGCAATGGTTAAATATTTCAGTGATTGTGGTTATATAATAAATTATCCCAAAACTGAGTGACATAAAGCACCCTCCATTTTCCCTGGCTACCAAATTTATGGTTCAAGAATTCAGGAAGACATCCCTTCCACCAGACTCCATGGGTCAAAACAATCCCTAGCTGGCCTAGATTCAAGAGACAAGGAACTGATGGGGCTGACAAGGTCCCACTGTACCGCAGCAGATGCAAGGAGGGGGGGGGGGGTGCCGTGGCCATCTTTGAAAAGGGCAATCTGCCACTCGAAGCCTCAGCTCACGTGCAAAATTAGGTCAAATCAACCGGGCAGCTTCAATGTGCAGCCTGGATAGAACAATGCTTAACATTCATCAAAGTCACTTTTTCAACAGGCTCCCTCATGCTTCATGGTTCGCCCTTTCTGCTTCAGGAAAAGTCACAGCTGCGGCACCACACACCTCAGTGGCCACCCTCAGGAAGTGTCCTCTGTGACAATGCTTTCCCTGCAGCTCGGATCTCATGATCTGATAAAAAAAAATGTGTGTTCACCCAGCTTTCTTCTGAATTCAGGTGGCCTGCCTCACCTGGGCACAGGATAAATCTGGTGGGAGACTCAGAATGGAAAACACAGCGGTTCAGCAAGAAGACATCATTGACAGAGAGAATATGAACTGGTATAGCTTTCTAAAGGGCAATTTGACTATAAACATCAAAATATAAAATATGCATTACTCTTTGACCTAGCATTCCCACTTTCAGAATTTTGCCCAAGGAAATAACAGACTAAATGCAAGAACACATGTACATTAGCAGGTACATATGGTGTTGTGTAGAACGGACAGAAATTCCGTCATACCACAAGTCAGTGATGACTAGAAAATAAATTGTAGCTCATTGATACTAATTTTCAAAGAATGAAGTAGATCTATATGAACTAATACGGAAAAATGTCTAAGACATATGGTTAAGTGCAAGGAAAACTATTTGAAGCGTACCAATCATAAATCATGTTCATGTAAGACTATGTGCACTTGGGCCCAAAGAGACAGCTGGGTGACAGACCCCTGGGTGGAAGCATTTGGGGTGAATTTTGCTTTCTTTTGGTGATGATAATGAGGCTTATAGCTCCTGTGTGTGTGGACAGTTATAAATCCCTTACATATATTAACTCACCTTATCCTCTCAACAACCCTATGAAGTAGACACTGTTGGTATCTCCGTTTTAGAGGACAGGAAAATTAGGCACACAGGGGCCAAGCAGCCTGCCTGCAGCCATGAGACCAATCAGCGGCTGACTGAGCAGTACTCCATTGTGTATACACCACATCTTCTTGATCCACTCATCTGCTGTTGGGCATTTAGGTTGCTTCAATATCTTAGTTACTATAAACAGTGCTGCATTACTTTCAATAGCCAATTTAGAAACAACCTAAGTGCCCATCAACAGATGAATGGGTCAAGAAGATGTGGTTATATACACGGTCTAGTACCGCTCAGTTATTTAGAAAAATAAAAAAAGATAAAATTCTGCCATTTGCAACAATCTGGACAGACCTAGAGTGTATTATGCTAAGTGAAATAAATCAGATGGAGAAAAACAAATACTGGATGATTTCACTCATACATAGATAAAGAAACAAAGCAAATGAGCAAACAGAGCAAAAATAGTCTCAGATTATAAGAACAAAATGGTGGTTGCCATGGAAGGGCACTGGGGGTAGGTAAATCCGGCAAAGGGGGTCAATGATGGGCGGTGGAGGAAACTGGATTTTGGTGGTGATCATAATGTAACATAGACACATGTCAATCTATACCTGAAAACTATATAATGTCACAAACCAGAGTCACTTCAATAAAGATCTTTGGAAAGACAGACCCCTAGAACCCAAGCCACATTCCTGCCTCCAAGCTCTATTCAAGGCTAGAAAATCTTATTTTCAGAAATATCTGTTTCAAAGGAGATTCCAGTGGCTAGAGAGTGAGGTTGCTGGATGGGCAGAATCAAGGGGTGCGGAGGATAGGCCAGAGTCCCAGCTCAGGGATGCTCGGACTCAGGCGAGGATGAGGAGGGTGCAGCAGGAAGGACAGATGCAGTCTCCAGGAAAAGCTCATCCTCAGAAGAAAGGAGGCCCAAAACTTGGTCCAAAGGAGGGGGTAGAGGCAGTTCTGAGCTCAGCTCTGCTGTGCAGCCACTGCCCCAGCACAGCCCCAGCAGGCTTGTGCCTCAGGCCCGTACAATGTGGCCTCTGAAAACACCAGTGGAAGAGCTGGTCCCTCCCCTCCAGGCATTCCTGCAAGCAGCTGAGTTGGCAGCAGCCCTGGGGGCCCTCAGCTCACACTGACATAGAAGCAGCAGCTTCAGCTTAAGCATCCCTTCAGCTTAAGGGATGCACGTGACACTTTGGCCTTCAGTGGGCACTTGGCATTTGTCAGTGGTGCTCCAGGGGGAGTCCATGTCGGGATGCCCAGGACGTCTTGGGAAGGAACCGTCAGCATCAGCAGTTGGCTGGCAGCAGTTAGGGGCTCAGTCTCCTAGGGAAAGCATGAAGTGCAAGCAACAGAGGCAAGTGCGGGAGAAGCGGGGTACACAAGAGGCTGGGGGTGCCATCCTCCACACCTGGGTCTGCCCTGATGGGGACCCTGATTGGGGTTGAGTTCTGCCCCCCACCCCCGCCCACCCAGCCTCTACCTCCTCCTTTCCACACTCACAGAACCCCGCCCCAGCTGGCTTTCAATGCATTCAACCACAGGTTGGAACTGAGCTCTGTGTCCCCCTTCATCTGGCGTTCTGATGGCGGGGCTTGCCAGGCTAGAGGCAAGAGATCTTACTCTAGAAACTCTTTTTAAAGCCGAGCAAGAAACAAATGGCTCTGCAATCCACCGGGATCGCCTTGGGTTGGAAATTTAAAATGCATTAAAGTTGAGGGACCTATAAACATGTCATAACACGCTCCCCAAGCTGCTGCCTCTGTGACTTGCGGGTGCAGGGGACCAAAGGGCACAGTAGGCACATTCACCGCACAAAGAGGGGCACACATACCCATACACACGCATCCCTAGAACCTACTCCTTGCATACCTGCACACATATGTGCACTCTACCCACAAATGAACACAGCCAGATTTGTGCACAAATACATGAGGGTACATAAACCCTGCACACACACTCATACAGAAAGAGATCTGTAACTGTATTCAGCCCCACCCTGTGTGTAAATATATGCACCAGCTGCACCCACACAGGCACACACATCACCCACAAACATGGACACACAGAGACATAGAAACCCCCCTCCCCATTCATACACTTCTCATAGAAATAAACCCATGGTCAGAGTGGGCCATCGTCCCCCCGTACACAGACACGCACAGATGCGCCCTCGCACACTCTGAGCCCGGCCCCATGGTGCACACTCATCCAACGTGGAGACAGACATACGCAGACACACTCGTCCCACACCAAGTGGGTGTACCCACTTCACTCCAAGCAAAGATGGCCACAAACATGGATGCAGCAGCCCACGTAGGTGTGTGCACAAACAGCCCACAGAGAAACACAATCAAACAAACATTCAGCATCCCTGCCCACCTCAACAGCATTGCAGGACCACTCAACAGCCTGGACACAGGGTTTTCTTTTTTCATTTCTCTGAATGTGGCGCCACCATTTTGCCCAAGGGCTCAGCCAAAAACCCGAGCATCAGCCTTGATTGCACCACCTTCCTCGGCCTCCACATGCAGACCATCCCCAAAGCTAGTCATGTCTCTCATCTCCAAAGCCATCACCTACTCCCTGGCACTATATCTCACGGGGATCACTCTCTATCCCCTCATCACCCTCACCTCCACTGCAATCCATTGACCTTGACCAGGCAATCCATCCTGCCATGGCATTTGGATCAAAAGAACTTTCAGTGATTCCCAAGGCATTTTTTTTTTAAATGCAGACTCTGTATCCCAGCCTACACATCTGTATAATCAGATCTCTGTCTTGCTTACACTCTGATCTCATCCTATGCACCATCCACCTCATCCACTACTGTCAGCACCTGTGCCATGACGTTGGGGAGCTTGCTGAACCTCTCTGAGCTTCAATTTTCTCCTCTGTAAAATGTACATAATAATGCACACTTCACAGAACTGCCAGTAGGAGTGAAAGAAAGAACGTATGTTGGAAATGTTGCCTACCTTAGTAGGATTCCTCCAGATCCTGCCAGCGATGCATGGGTCTCATGCAGAAACTTCGGTTTCTTCCAGCAGTGTCTGAAATTCGTCGTAGATGGGAGCTCCAGGTCACTGCCCAGATGGCCTCATGACCAACGAGGCTCTGATCCTGGCCCAGTGGCTGCAATTCTGAGCAAAACAATCAGCAGTTATGTCTCAGTAATTAGTTTACATGATGTCGAAAAACGTGTACTTACAATAATATTTGGTTCAAAGCAAGCTGTGATTAGCACGAACCCCCAGCGGTCCTCCGGTATCCTCCCACCCAAGAAGGGGCAGGGTCTGTGACTGAGCTGCCCCAGTCCTTCTGGCTGGAGCCACCCAGGTAGGGTGATGAAGGAAAAGGGTCCTGGCCAAAATAAATGATCAGAAAGGCAGGAGCAATCCCCAAGAGGGAGCCACTGCCCTCCGAAGGGAAAGGGAGGGGAAAGGACAAGGAATGAAGCCATCGAGCCAATACAGCGCCCTGAAGTGGGAAACTCACAGAATCGATGCCAAACTGCCTGGCTCCAATCCCAGCCTGCTCTCACTGGCTTGTGACCTTGACCAGGAGACTCGTCCTCTCTGTGCTCCTGCCTGTGAAGCTGGGATAATAACACTACTTAGGTAGTTGTGCTTGGGAGAGTGTTTGGGTTTGGGTTGTTTGGAGGAGTAAATTAGCTAATATTTACGAGGCGCTGAGGACAGAGCCCGGCACATGCTCTATATAACTCTGTGTTCAATAAACTGGTGATCAGAGCAGATGGGTGCGAAGAATTGGGTCCAGGGACTCTCCCTACACCTTTCTCTCTCTTCTCCCTGAAGGCCCTCCTTCCCATTTTTTTTAAAGTCCTCTACCCCCAGCTCTCCCCCATCCCAGATTCTAGGCAGAATCAGAGACCCAAGGTGGCTGTGAGGAAGTACATGTGACCAAAACATGCGGAAAGATGCTCATCACTCATCCTCATCATTATCCATGGTGTGGGAATTAAAACTGCAATAAGAGATCTTGGAAGGGTCTCACAGAGGGCCAGGAGGTGCTCAGAACACTTTCTAAATGACTACACCTTTGTTCAACTGGAACTCTTAATGCAGCTTATAACCCTCTGGGTAGGCTTCAGACATCCATAATTCAAAATTCTTTAAACACTGAAATAATATTGGTATAGTAACAAAAATTGCCTGCATGTCGGTATTTAACTACAATGCAGTGTATCAGAATACCAGAATATTAATTTTTTTTAAATCTTGGATCCCCTTATTAGTCCAGATTTCATGATCGAGAGTTGTTTGGGAAGAGACCCCTCTCCATGGCCTGCCCACTGAAGGAGCCTCTCAATGTAGTGAAGACTGAGGCCAGAGGTCTCAGTGGGGCAGAGGGGTGGGTAAGGAGGAAGAAAGTAGAAAGACAATAAATCACTGCAAAACACAGATGGGTGTCAGACCTGTCATAGAGAGCATAACAGCCCCCAAAATATCTCCCCTTTAATCCCAGAGGTTTGCAAACATTACTTTACAAGGCAAGAGAGACTACAGTTTTAATGAAGTTAAGGATCTTGAAGGAGGGGAGATTATCTTGGATTATATAGGTGGAAATGTCATCACAAGGATCCTTATAAGACAGAGGCAGGAGACAGAGTCAGAGAAAATGTGATGGAGGATGCAGAGGTCAGAGTGATGCAGCCATCAGCCAAGAAGCGTGGGCAGTGTGCAGAAGCCGGAGGAGGCAAGGGAACTGGTTTTCCCCCAGAACTGCCAGACTCATTGTGCTCACTCGTTATGTACTTCTGCTCTACAGAACTGTAGTCAATAAATTTGTTACTGTTTTAAGCCACAAAGTTGGCGGTGATTTGTCATCACAACAAAATGAATACAGAATCCATGACAGATATGAGTGTGATTGATGCAACAAAGATTTATCGAAGGTCTACTGCGTGTCATGCACTGCTCTGGGCACTGGGGAGGCAGACAAATTTCTCTCTGCTGGAGCTTCTTATTGCAGTGGGAAGAGACAAATAATACGTGAGTGAACAGGATGACTTCAAAGAGTTAAAATTACATGAAGAAAATAAGAAAGGGAGACATGAAAGTTATTAGTTTCCACCTTAGATTGAGCGGTCAGGGAAAACCTCTCTGAGGAAATAGAAAAATTTCCTTTCCATAATACAGTGAGCTAAGTAAAGATGTGGGAGAAAAGCACCATAGACTGTCTAGGTTAACCTTTGCTCATAAGAAGCCAGCTCAAAACTTGATGATTGAAAACAACCACCATTTATTTGCTTCCAATTTTACAATTTGGGTGGAGCTCAATGGGAACTCTGCTTTACGTAGTATCAGCTGGGAGGACCCAGTGGGACTGGTGTCTATCCTTCAATAGGGTTTGCCAGTATGGCCCAGTAAGTTGGTCTGTCAGCTGGAAGCTCATCTGGGTCTATTGGTCGGCCGTGAAAATTAACCTCCACACTGACCACCACAGGGCTGCTTGGGCTTCCTCACAATATGGTACCTGAGTTCCAAAAGGGTGGAAGTTGAAGTTGCCAGTTCAGAACTGTCACAGCATCTGTTGAGGACATTTTATTGGCCAGAGTTATCATAGACCAGCCCAGATTCAAGGGGACAGAGAAATAGACTCCATTTCTCAGGAGGAGGAAGAAAAAAGTAACCTATGAACATCTTTATTACAACATAGCTATCAAAGGCACTGTAGTTGCACAAGCCCTAAGGTGGGAATGATCCTGGTGCACTTTGAGAACAGAAGGGTGGCTGAAGAAGAGTGAATTGGCAAATAGGAGGGTAGTATAAGATAAGGTCAGAGTGGAGGGCAGTTACCAGATTTATAGGGCTTGCAGGCCATGCTAATGAGCTTAGATTTTATTCCAAGGTAATGGAAAACCACTGAAGCAGGAAAATGACATAATCTGTTGGAGATTTTTTTTTAAATCTCACTATTGATGCCGAGTGGAGAGGAGCAAATATGAAAGCAATTTATTGCAAGAGACCATTCTCTGAGGTAGGACACATGAAGGGCACAGGGATCATTGCTCACTTTTTCATTTTTGGAGAGTGATGAAAGGGAAGTGGGGAGGAGAGGAGATGGGTCAAATTTAGACAAGCAGTATTTGAGCAGCACCAGACAGTAGCAATTATGGGCATGGGTCTTGGTCATTGCTAACTTGTGACCTTGAGCAGGTAATCTTATCCTATCTGAACCTTAGTTTCCATAAAACAGAGACAATAATATCTACCTTATTAAAGTTATTTGGAAAACTAAGTAAGGTTATTAATTCATTCAACAAATATATATTGAATGCCAACTATATACCTGGAAAAGACTACAAATGACTCCATTTCCATGGAACTTATAATCTAAACCAGAATGACATACTTAGAGCAATAATTTAGTGCCTGGCATGTAATACTATTCAGAAGCTATTTTCATTATTGCATTTGAGGGGGCTTTGGCACCCCTACGTGGAGAACTTGAATAGTCAGTTGGATATGCAGCCTGGCTATCACAGGTGTGACTCAACTGTCATTCACTGAAGGCCTAGTAGGTGTCAGACACTGTACTAGACTCCTCATCATCTGCTGGACTCATCTTCCCAGCCGTGGAGCTGTTAAGAATTTCGGGCCTTAGATGCCTGCGTAATTTACAACAGGCATCCAAAGGGCTTCATGATCTCGTCCCTGACGTGTCCCAGACACACAAAAAGGAAAGAATTAAAGCAGTCTGCCACCCCTGCTTCTTCGAGGGCCCAGATTGTGCCAGGCGCTATTCTAAACTTTCCGTGCATATTCTCATTACATTCTCACACTCACCTTATGAGATAGCTTCTGTTGTCATTGCCATTTCACAGACGAGCACACTGAGGCCCAGAGTCACAAAGGGAATCATTAGCAGATCTGGAATTTGCACTCCAGGAACCACTATCCAAAACAGCCATGCAACTAATACTTGGAACCCCCAATCTAAAAATGGTCAGAAACTGTGCGGCCCTCCCTCTTAAAGGGAGGCTCCTGAAATGCAGCAGGCCTCTCTGGAGAGAGGCAGGGCTGCACCTGGCCAGAGGCAGCACCACCCTGAGGGAGGAGAGGCAGCCCTGGATCCAGGGCCCATTCCACCACTTCCCAGCCTTCGACCTCCAACCCTCCTTCCTTTCCATAATACAGAGATCCTCAGTCTTTCATTCATTCAACAAATTGGCATGGAGAGTCCATCATGCGCCAGGAATGGTGCCAAGAGGAGACACACCGGCCCCTGTGCCTGTGAATCTGATATTATAACTAAGAAGACAAATGAGAAAACAAGCGGACAGACAAATGAAATAATTTCCAAGCTAATGAGCGCCATAAGGAAATTAGCGAGGGGCTGAGGCAGAAGAGGAGCGGAGAGGACTTAGCTTGGATGTACGAGCGGTCACCCGAGGATAAGGCGGCCTGGCGGAGAGAAGGGGCAGCCAGCGCGCTCCAGGCAGAAGGAGCGCGCCCGCGGGGACGTCAAGAAGTTTGGGGACCAGAGGAGCCCAGAGGGGCTGGCGGGCACTTAGGACCACAGCTTGTGCGCACGAGAGAGGATGGCGCTTGTAAGGCCTGGATGGCGCTTGTAAGGCCTGGATCATGACGCAGGCCGTGTGGAGGTGCTAATAAAGCGAGCTCTCTCCCCTCCAAGAGCTGGGGCGCGCCCTTCCAGCGCACGCTCCAGGCCATCTTCAGCCGTGAAGCCCTGAGGCCTTCTCCGGTCCCCCAGCTCCAAGTCTGTTTGCCACCATTGAAGTGCGCACTTTTTCCCTTTGTCTAATTATTCCTAATTGGAAGAAAAATTGTTTGGCAAATCAGCTGGCACCTCCTCAGCTCCCGTGTCCTAGCAACCCAGCTCTCGGGGGTGACACCGGAGAGGAGGCGCTTTGCCTCCTCCGCACTGCAGGGAGCGCCAGGGAAGGTGGGCGCGGCAGTTACACCCCCCCAGACTAGCATCACCCCTCCAGCCAGCTCTAGCCACTGCACCCCTCAGCGCAAAACGCACAGGCGCGCGCTCCCACTGAGGCCACCAACGCTTGACCTGCCTGAAACGTAACCTCAGCCTTTCTGGAAAGCAGAAGGTATCTCAGAAATAGATTTCTAATTTTCCAGCCACCTGCTCGGCTGAAAGATATTCTGGAGTTTATAATTACTTTTCAGGCACTTAACTAGAGTCTAGTTTCTAGGGCAACTTGATGCATCTCTTAATGTGTCTATGGATAAATTGTGCCCTCGGCTCAGCCAGAGTAACCTCGAAGTGCCCCTGCCCAGGTCCGAGGGGAGGGCACTCTCTACAGGGCTCAAGCTGTAGAGCCATAGTAATACTCACCACCAGGGGCTTAGGGGAGGGTAAATAAGATGGCTGTGTAGGGCTCCTGGCTCAGGCCTCAGAAGTTCTCCAAGAATACTGAGCAGCCTTGGAAATGGTTCTAAGAGAAACAAATGACATGGCCTCCACCTCCTGGGTCCACGCAGGCCCAGAAGCAAGGCCTCAGAGGCCGGGACACCTTCCCTCCCTGTAGAGTTTGGTGACCAGACCACTGGTTCAAATCCCTACCAGCTATAGGACAATAGTTGGGTTATTCCC